CATATTTGAAGATAAAAGCACTCTTCTTTTGCTTCCATCTAAAAGAAGCCACACCTTTGATAAAAAGTCTGAAATGAAGTGAGTCAACAATATGAATTCAAACACTGTGGGGAAATGAAGATGCCTATCAGTATGTAAACATTCCTTTCACCAGGTAGTCTCATTCTGAGAAAAAATCCTGGCTTTCCGAGACTGTTATATCTTAATTCTGGAAGAGCCTAAAAGAGCCAACATATACATAAACTTGACCAGGCTCTATACTCATTTGGGCACCATGGGCCCCTGGTGGTCCCTTTTTCCCTTTCATGAATAAATAAGTAAAACTACTGGGTTTTGCCTCTTTGTTTTCCTCTATTCTCAAATTTTTAAAAAATAATTCATTTTTGCTTATTAAAAATACATATTTATCATGTATCTACACTTTTTAATTTGCCCTAATTCTACGTAAAACAAAGGGATTTTCACTTCCATTGTTTTCCATTTTTAAAAATACCAATTAAATATACATTCATTGTTACTTTTTAGTGGTAATATTAGAAAATGTTAGTAAAGATACTGAGTTATCAACTAATCATATAAACAGCTGTTACCAACCCATGCATGATACATAACATATTCCTTTGCCTTTCACTTTCACTTATATTTACTCTCATAAAGTCCTCAGAAAAGTTTCTAAAACACTTTCTTATTTGAATGTTCTGTATGCCCACCTTACTTAAAGTTAATCTCAAGGGTCAGATGCTGTAATATAGGCAGGGCTGACTTCCCCAGAAGAAGGTGTCTAAGCTCAGTGTCTAAGACCAATGCTTACACACGCAATGTATCTCTCAGAGGACCTAGGATTTCATATTCAGTGTAGGCTCAATGTTATGAAATCAACTTAAAGTAACATTTTAGAACATTAAACACATTTAGAACATTAAAAACATCCACTTCCTACTGTCAGAAGTTAGACTGATGATCTTTCTTAGACTTTAGATGTGCAAAAAAAAAAAAATCAAAACCAAAATTAAAAGCCCAACCATAAAAAGCACACTGCAGTTTCAGGACCTTTAATGCAGCAGAGTGCAAAGTCACAGTCAGGAGATGGGCCAAGTTTCCTTCAACCTAGAAAAGGCAAAAAGCTCTACCAAAATATCAAATTAAGATACCATTTGACTGTTCCATCAAACTTCCCAGTCAAAAAAGACATATCACATTCTTATCACACTTCAAATGCACAATATACTTTATGTACTGGCCTACTTATGTAAGCCAATAATACTTTGTAGGGGCAGATCACTCTGCCACTTACAAAGTGATGTCATTTTCATACCTGATTTGAGCTTCACAAATACCCCATGAAGTAAGGTAATTGGCTATTTGGCTATTACGTACAACGTACACATGGAAACAAGACAGAGTCACAAATTATGCGCTCAACATCATTAAAACATCCTGACTCCCATTCCAATGCTCTTTTTACAGTAATTTCATCATTACGGTAACACAAACCAGAAGGTTTTAGGATAGTGATTTATGGACAAATACTAAAGAAAAATTAGATTTCTGACTTCCTGTAATGCAGGAGGAAAATCTTTGACTCACTTTATTTTTTAATACTTCCTTCAAAAAACCTACCAGCCCTTAAACAAGTTTCCACACATCAGATGCCCTATAAAAAAAGAAAATCCCTAAACTTATCAGGTATTTCCAATCCTTCCTACATTATAGGGCTAAATTTCATCTTAGAACTCAAATTGAGAAACTTTTTTCAAGTTTATCTGGTGCAGTATATTGGACATGACCTTTGAAACACACTCACATCCCTAATTTGTTTTAATCTAGTCAAAACTGTAAAACTGCCAGCAAGGAAATTCTTGAAAATGTAACTTATCACATACATTACGGCAACTTCCTCACCTAACCACACATAAACATGCAAACAATCCAGCCTCTAGTAGTTCTGCATTGTTAGATGAGTCTGCATTTTCTGTTTTAAAATATCCTGGGCTTAACAGGCCTTGCTGCTGTGTCCATGTTCTTTACATGTCAGAAACTATTGCTCTAGGATCTTAACAGTTCATACTCATCTAGCTTTTTAAAATCTTTATTTAACTTAGATAAGAATACAACTACACAATCGAGACTACAATACTATGGAACCAGTTAGTAAATCAAACATGGTAATCAATTTGTTTCTTATGCCCTGTAAATGGACTCAATTACCTATTAAGATATTGAGTTAAACAATACACAATATATACAAAATTAAAAGATCATAAAATAGTGAAAAGGAATTGAAATTTGAGGAGGAAGCAAAGCTTCAAAGAAAATAAAATACGAATACTATAGCTTGAAAAACAAAAAAAAAGCTTTAGAATGGATATTGTATTAAGACTTAATGGAGGGTGCCTGGGTGGCTCAGTTGGTTAAGCGACTGCCTTCGGCTCAGGTCATGATCCTGGAGTCCCGGGATCGAGTCCCGCATCGGGCTCCCTGCTCGGCAGGGAGTCTGCTTCTCCCTCTGACCCTCCTCCCTCTCATGCTCTCTGTCTCTCATTCTCTCTGTCTCAAATAAATAAATAAAATCTTTATAAAAAAAAAAAAGACTTAATGGATACTTGGGAGTTGAGGTTAAACCTCAATTTTTCAGGACTGATAATTGCAAAAGTACATAGAATATTCCTACAGAAGACCAAGACCAATGTGACCCTTTCTTTAGGACAGAAAACAAAATATGGGCTAAATAATATGCTTCTTACCCATTCATATCCAACATATCCATAATAGAAAATAAAAGTAAGCACAATTCAAAATATCAGTACTATATAAAACATGGTACTCAAAGTGATTTAATGAAAACAAGCTTTAAAAGCCCCCATTTCGGGGCGCCTGGGTGGCTCAGTCGGTTAAGCATCTGCCTTCGGCTCAGGTCTTGATCCCAGGGTCCTGGGGTCGAGCCCCGCATCGGGCTCCCTGCTCGGCGGGGAGCCTGCTTCTCCCTCTCCCATTCTCCCTGCTTGTGTTCCCTCTCTCACTGTGTCTCTTTCTGTCAAATAAATAAATAAAATCTTAAAAAAAAAAAAAAGCCCCCGTTTCATCATTGCTTAACTTCTTTATTTCCACTGGCAAATGTTTACAAATAATAAATTTAAAATTCTCCTATCTCTAGATCTTTTCAGATTAATATGCCCATCTTTTGTCACCTGATAGATTGACAGGAATAATCAACATTGCACTGCCTTAACTAAAGACTAAGCACTTTTGTCGTTGATTTTACCGTACAAAATGAAAACATTAAAATGAGATGTACAAATGCTAAGAATTATTGTCATATCTGGGGCTTTTTTTCCTTTTTAATCCAACGAATGCATTTCTTGCCCCTTCCAGACAAACAATTTACACTTAAATTAATCTGTGGATGCAGTAACAGGGGCTCTGTGTAGGTTTTTTGTTGTTGCTTATTTGTTTTTTAAAGCAATGTTTAAAGGGTCTATGGAATTGCTGCACCGGTATCCTTTTTTTAAATTAAGTTCTTTTCCTCGGAAAATACCAGAAAATATAAAGAAAAAGTCATTTATGGTTTCACCATCTGATCACTTTTATAACTATCTTTTCAGCTTATTTTTAATAGACATGATCACTTCTGGTTCTATAGTTTCATTTACAAAATTAGAATTATATTTTCTCATCTGTTTTCATTTAAAAAGTATTTCCCACACCCTTGAATATTATTTGGGAATGATTTTTATTTAATAACTTCTTTAGAATCCTATCCTTCACTTAAAGGGTTAAAAATTACGCATTAAAATAATACCCTCACTTTCTCCTGTCCCTTCACCTTTATGATGAGAACTCGGCAAAGAATAGTAAACCATTCACTCTAGCATCCAAGGTGTGATACATTGTATCCCCCTGAAAAACGTGGGATCTAGTAAGATTCAAACCTTAAACCAAAAATATGAAGCGCTAACAGAGACAGTTCAAGCACTATCCAATGGATATAACCTTACTGGAGGAGGCAAATCTAAAATTCGCAGGACTCAACAGTTACCTATTCTAGCTACAAGAAAGCTCCACTTCGTTTTTAAATAAAGCAATTGTGAAGCAGTGCAAATTTCACCCACCCAACAAAAGTACCGTAATTGGCTGAGTTCGTTAAAACTGCCGCTCCCAATGGCAGAGCTGGATTCATTAAACAAAGATAAATATGTAGAGCATACAAGGAACTGTGTGGACAGCTGCTACAGTGGAGTTATCGTTTAGGAAGACCACGCTAAAGTGGGCCGGTTGAGGGGGAAAAGGATAAGGAAAGGGATCTGATCACTGTCAGCCTGGCGTATAAGCAGAAATCTCAGTTGCATTATTTAATATTTAATCTTTCTATTCCTGGCATCACGGGGCTCAAACGTCACCAAAAAAGATGAGCCGGCTGAAAAAACCGGCCGGGTGACGCACATAACATCTTATGGATTCTCATCAATCAAGACCAAGAAGCGCCCCAGCCAGCCTAGTGAAGGAAGAAGGGTCCCCCCGGCCATCAGCTCCCCCAATTCCCTGGTACGCCGCTCCGGTCCGCAAGCAGGGATCGGAGGCTGCAAGACCTCCCGACCCTATGCCTCAGGGGCCGGATCACCTGGGGGGCTGCGGACTCGCGTTCCCAGACCACCCTTGAGCCAGCTCCCGCCCGGAGTCAGTCCCCGCCCGAGCAGCCCCCAGCCTCAGAGAAGACCCCGCCTCTGCCTCCGCCAGACAATTCAGCAGGGGGTGCGGGACAGGGCCCCGACAGGCGGCCGAGACTCCTCTCCTGGGGTCCCAACCTGCCCAGGGCCGTACCTGAACGGGCAGCGCCACCTCCGCCCGACCGTGCAGACTGTCGCGGTGGCAGCGGTCCCAGCTCCGACACAGTGACGCCTCACTTAAAAACAACAACCTGCTCGCTGGCGTCCGTAGCCGGGAGGCGGCGGCTGGCGGGGCGCCGCAGCGCATGCCGGAACTCGTAGTCCCTACCTCTCCTCATGTCGGGCACGGGAGGAGGGAAGAACTACGACTCCCGAAGAGGAGCGCAGCCCGCCCTGGCTCGGCGGCAGGAAGCTAGGCGGGGCGGCAGCGATCCCCACAACATCCGGGCCCCGGCGGAGAGAGGCTCCGCGGTCAGTTGCCATGGAGACGGGCTTCTACAACCACTCTAAAGGATTCGCGGTTTCACCCCGAGGGCGGCTCCCTGGATTAGGCGGATTAGTTGATACCTATTGAACTAGCGGACCGTTCACGATTTCTTTGCGGCTTTAATTGGATCTGGTAAAAAGGCTTCTCCCCAGCGCTCACTGGTCTTCTTGCCATCCGCTGCCGGGAAAGACTGCGTTTGCCGAAAAAATATATAAAGAAGATACCGAGAATGACCGAGTACGACTGGGTGGGTGTGGGCAGAGGGCTGAATGTTTTTGACAGTGGTATTCCTTGCTATAAATTTGGGGCACTCCGCACCGCCACTCGCCCCACCCCCAAGAAACACCTTTCTAGGCAACCACTGGGCTACACGGATGTAAATGTGCATCGCGTTGAGCCAGAATTGCCTCTGGAAGTATAAAATGATTGGGGATGTTGTGCAACTGCGGTGATGGCTTTAAATGAGAAAAACGTACCTTGTTAATTTTTTTTTTTTTTAAGATTTTATTTATTTATGTGACAGAGAGAGAGGAACACAAGCGGGGGCAGTGGGAGAGGGAGAAGCAGGCTCCCCGCGGAGCAGGGAGCCCGATGCGGGGCCCGATCCCAGGACCCTGGGATCATAACCTGAGCCGAAGGCAGATGCTTAACGACTAAGCCACCCAGTCGCCCCCCTTGTTAATTTTACATTTTTTTACACTGTGCCTTGTTCAAAAGGATAGGAGCAAAAAAAAGAAGAAAAAGAAAAAAGAATATGGTACACTTGTATTCACTTTTGGTGGAAACGTAGAAAGTTAAGGTTTAAGGTTAAACTTAAGGTCTGTCCCCCAATTGTGGCAAAAAAAAAAAAAAGAAGAAGAAAAGCAATAACAAGGAGAATGATGGGACTGAGCAGAAACAAAAAGGTGCCTCAAAATTAGACTTTTGGAGGGTTTTTTGTTTGCTTTTGGTGTTGCTATAGTTAACATCACCTGTGACTACAACATCAAAAAAAACACGATTTTTTAATCTTAAAATTAGAGCTCCCATAAAGAACATTTTTATTATCTCAATGACTTGTTCTTATTTATCTTTTTAAAAATGTGTATGTGTTTATAAGGATGAAGTTTGAAAAGTCACAGTGGCTTGGCTTTCTCTAATTCCAGGGGAGTCTGAAAATTACATTAGTGAGAAAGCTAATACCATCTCTTTGTAGATTTTTATTCTTTTCAAGGCACTTTCACAGTCTAATTTTTTAAGACCGTCAATTTTAGAAGAATCCTTTACAATTTTAATTAACTTTTTTATCCTTAAGTAAATAATATTTGCTGATCCTATGTGTAACCTGGCAGAGCATTTAAAATAATCCTTTTATTATTCTTTGTATAAGGCTGTTTGTTTTTAATTGTATCAATTGGAATTCCACATTTGAAGAATATCAGATTTGAAGAGGGTGAAACCCAAATAAGAAAACTGCAGTGACCTATGACAAAAAGTAAAAGCAATGAGTATTTTGTTTCTAAGTCTGTGAACATTTGTGAATTATCCTGGAAGTCAAAAAGATTCAGGTAGACCCTAACATTTCCTGATTATATGGTACAAATTATGCCAACAAAGTTTATCAGCTAATTTGTCTTCTGTTTTGACTAGATTTGGTTTACTGTATTACATTTTGGGCCAAAGATGACCAGAAGGTAGTAGAAGGTGATTTGATGAGAGTCAGTCCTCTGTGACTGAGGTTACCCTGGGCAACTTGACTGAGTATCCATAAAGTAAGTTAGGGTTGGTACTTTTTCCTACAAATCACAGGGGAGCCACCTTCCACCTACAAAGCTTTCCCTGTACTCCAGAAACCTAGACATTTTGAGAAAACCTGACTTGTTGAGATACCATAGGGTTCTGGTGACTTGCTATTATCCAGTGTCTGTGCTCTTGATATTTAAAACAAATTAATTGGCAGTGTCACAAAGAAGTAGCAAGATCTGATGAGTTCTACTTCCAGCTTTGCCAGCTTCCTGCAAGAATATGAATATGAAGTATTAGTCAACTGTACTATACTAATGTAAAGTTATTAACCTGTAAACTTCAGAACGGAATCTGGAACATCATCCATATGCATTGAGATAAACCTGAAAGAAAATGGTAAAAACTAATTCCATGTATATAACAATTTATCACTTACATCCAGTTTTCTTTCATTTTATCTCCAAAACCACAAGAATTATGACAGGTTTTTTGTTTGTCTTGCTTTGTTTTTACCAATTTACAGATGATACACAGAAGTGAAATCCTGGTAAGGGATTGGAACCTAAGTCACAGTTCCTGCCTGGTGCTACTCCAACAACACTCTATTGATACTCATTCAAATCTGAACAAAGGAAAAGAAAGTGGATTAACTCCTTCATATTTCCAGAATTGGGCTCAGCTTTCAAAACAAATTAGGTTCCTGACCTTGAGAAACTTAACTTGGCAAGATATTTAGTAGAATAAACCAGGAATTTAGGACAAGCTCAGTTATGCTAAAGAGGAACCTAACTAATCTGACCCAAATTTGAAACTCAAAAAGGTTTTATCCTCACTTAAGTCTGACACAACAGCACTGTAAACATTCTTATCTTCATTCCAGAGGAAGAAATTGAGATTATGTTACTAGTATTAAAGATTTAGAATTCATAAAGGGTCTCAGCTTCATGAATCACAAGAATCTACTCTAGAATCTTCAAAGAAAAGGCACTTTAATGCATGTAAACAATCTTCTACTTAATACAACCTTAAAAGATCAGTTACTATACACTGCCAACTACCATGAAGTTATTTAGATACAATAATGTAACTTCTAATCTGGAAGGATTTAAATCTTAAGTATTACCAATATTTTTAAGTACTGCCACATTTTTTTGTTGTATTTTTAACTACCAAATTTTTTTGCCTAATTGGACACCATAGAACACACTTATTAAGAGCTTCTTATCACAAATGAGGGGCCGTATCATGAGTAAATCTACACATCCCTTTATACTTTTTGAATAACAAAATCAGTTCTGTTAAAAAGAAAAACAGGGGCCAAGGTGGAGTCACTTGTCCCCAGGACAGCAAAGGAAGATTTAATTGCACTTTCAACCTCTCCAGGAGAGGAATTTTAAGCCAATCAATCTGGAATTTTCTTGTCAACACCAATGAGGTGATCTGTTACCTGGGCCCGCCCTCTCCCTCCCCCAAAGGAAAACCAGGGGATCTGCTTGATAAGAACCTCTGTCCTTGGGGCACCTGGGTGGATCAGTCCCTTAAGCCTCTGCCTTTGGCTCAGGTCATGATCCGAGGGTCGTGGAATCGAGCCCCACCTCAGGCTCATTGTTCAGTGGAGAGCCTGCTTCTCCCTCTCCCTCTTCTGCTCCCTCTGCTTATGCTGCTTTCTCTCTGTCAATAAATAAAATAAATAAAATTAAAAAAAAAAAAAAGAACCTCTGTCCTACCCCCTAAGGGGAAATTCTACTGGATATTCTTTCCTGCTTTGTCAAAGATTAGTTGACCATAGAGTTGAGGGTCCATTTCTGGGTTCTCTATTCTGTTCCATTGATCTATGTGTCTCTTTTTGTTTTTTAATATTTTTTAAATTTAAATTCAATTAAATAACATATAATGCCTCAGAGGTAGAGTTCAGTGATTCATCAGTCTTCTGTAATACCCAGTATCCTTATATCACATGCTCTCCTTAATGTCCATCAACCAGTTACCCTAGCCCCCAGGTTACCCTCCACTCCAGCAAACCTCAGTTTGTTTCCTATGATTAAGAGTCTCTTATGGTTTGTCTCCCTCTCTGATTTCATCTTGTTTTATATTTCCCTCCCTTCCCCTATGATCCTCTGTTTTGTTTCTTAAATTCCACATATGAATGAGATCATGATAATTGTCTTTCTCTGATTGGCTTATTTCACTTAACTTAATACCCTCTAGTTCCAACCATGCCATCACAAATGGCAAAATTTCATTTTTTTGATGGCTGAGTACTATTCTATACACACACACACACGCATCTTCTTTATCCATAGTTTGGCTATGGGGACATTGCTGCCATAAACATCGGGGTGCATGTGCCCCTTCAGATCACTACATTTGTATCTTTGGGGTAAATACCCCTTAGTGCAATTGCTGGGTCATAGGGTAGCTCTATTTTCAACTTTTTGAGGAACCTCCTTACTGTTTTCCAGAGTGGCTGCACCAGCTTGCATTCCCACCAACAGTGTAGGAGGGTTCCCCTTTCTCTGCATCCTCACCAACATCTGTCACTTCGTGACTTGTTAATTTTAGCCATTCTGACTGGTGTGAGGTGGTACCTCATTGTGGTTTTGATTTGTATTTCTGCCTCATTTATCCTAGCAGGTAGAGCCTCCATTTTTTAATTGCATCTCATTAATAGTCTTTTTTTATTTCAACTTGATTAGATTTTTCTTTTATTTCTCCAGAAAGGGATTCTCTGGTGTCTTCTATGCTTTTTTCAAGCCTAACTAGTATCTTTATAATCGTTATTCTGAACTCTAGTTCCAACATCTTACTTATGTCCATACTGATTAGGTCCCTGGCAGAAGTACTGCCTCTTGTTCCTTTTTTTGAGATGAGTTTTTCTGTCTTGTCATTCTGTCCAGAGAAGAATGGATGAACAAGAGAACAAAATACTAAGATGTCAAAAATGACCCCAGAGAAATATACGCTAAACAAATCAGAAGAGACCCGAAACCAAAAATAAATAAATTAATTAAAATAAAATAAATAAATAGGAGAGAATAAAATCAGGTAGGTGAGTAGAATAGAGAAATACACTGGATCCTGTGTGTATTTTGGTCTCTGTTAGAAAACTAGATCCCAAAATTGTAAAGAAAGAAAAACATATGTGTACACAAATAAAATTAAATATAGAGAAAGGATAGAATGTAAGGGTAAAAATGAAAATTAAAAGACAAAAACAACAACAGAAAAAAGGAATATAAACAGCAGGTGAACAGAACAGAGTATCCTAGGTACATTTTGGTCTGTTTGTTAGAAGAAACAATTTTCAAGTACTTAATTTGTATATTTGGCATAAACAATATCAAAATTATCATCCATTTAACCAGTACATGTTTCAGTTCTTTTATAAGTAATGTTGTGGACTGAATTTTTACTACAGTTAAGTTTCTTAGGATAGACTTAAAAACTAAAATTTCAGGATTCAAAGTCATTAACAGTTTTTAGTTCTTCATACATTTCATTAATTTTTTAAAATGGGGTTACATTAATTTACCTGACAATCATCAATACAAAGTGCTCTTTCACTGCCAAATTGGGTATGGGTTTTCATTTACATTTTTTAAAATACAGTTATGTTTCCTACCAAGATACAGTTTATCTTTTAGAATAGTTATCTTTGCTTCATCAGAGTTGCAATATTTTGCCTATCATTTTTTACATAGGAATAAAAATGTTTATGAGTTAAATACATTAATCCTTTGTCATTCTTTCTAGGTAATGTTCCCAGTCTGTGGTTTACCTTTTAATTTTGGTTAACTGTATCTTCAGGTATAAATAGGACAATTAAATACCTCAATCCCTTCCTTTATAATTTCTTTTGTCACTTTTAAATTTATAATGTCCTCCTTTCTCAGAGGGTTAAAAATACCTTTCTCCAGGCGCCTGGGTGGCTCAGTCGTTAAGTGTCTGCCTTCGGCTCACGTCATGATCCCAGGGTCCTGGGATCGAGTCCCACATCGGGCTCCCTGCTCGGCGGGAGGCCTGCTTCTCCCTCTCCCACTCCCCCTGCTTGTGTTCCTGCTCTCTCTCTCTCTCTGTCAAATAAATAAATAAAATCTTTAAAAAAAAAAAAACCTTTCTCCTAGTTTCTGGTTTTTCTATAATGTGATTTTTAGTCAGTGGGTATTTAATTCATCTGAAGTTTATTTTGATAATATTTGAAGGCGAAGATATATATTTTTGAAAATAGCTATCTAGTTTCCCGACATCATTTACTGAGTTGGTTTCCTATATGTTTGTCTTCGATATAATAAATTGTAAGCCTTAGGAATTTTGTATTCTTCATCACTGCATTTCCAACATCTAACAATGTGTGGCACACAGTAGGCACTCAATAAGTATTTGCTGAATCAGTGAATGAATGATAGTCTATATAGTCTGTTCCATTTGAATTCTCTCATCTTCATTAATGAAGCTTGATGTTTTTAATAGACTTGACTTTACTAAGGATAAAGCATGTTATATGCATGTGCTAGAAAGCTATGTGCACTTTTGCATCCATTCTTTTGAATATCTTGCTCCCTTGCATCCCCAAATAGCTAAATTACTTGTATTTTAAGTATCTACTAAATTATATGTATATATACACATATTTAATTTATATATTAAAAAGTGTAGTAAGTTGCACCACCAGCTACCCAATGTTTGTCCAGAACCCTAGTAGTCATCCTTGATCTGTCCCTCATCACCACCCACATTCAATTAATCACCAGACCCTGTGAATTCTTCCAAAATATATTTCAAATTTGTTTACTTATCTCCCTCTCTATACCACCACCCTACTATAGATCATTGTCATCAGTCACTTGGACTGCTGTAGCTCCTTTCTACATCCATTCAAGCCTCTGACAGCAGCCAAATTAATTATACTAAAACTCATTACTTAATGACATGCATCTCCTTAGTACCCTTCAATAGCTTTCCATTGCTTTTACCATAAAGATCCATATTTTTAAGAGAGTCAACAAGACCCTTCAGGATCTGGCCTCTGTCCCTTTATTCTCATCTCAGTCATATTCACCCTAACTTACTTGACTTTGGCCATGCTGAGTTTATCTTTGTTCCCACTTCTATCTTCTCCTGGCCTTCCCGTCTTAGATTCAATGATACTTCACTAAATTGGCCTTTCTTAGCCTCCATACTAGGTTAGAACCCTCTATAAATTTTCATAAATATCTTGTATTTTTTTTTCTCCACAGGACTTACTACAATTTTAATGATTAGTTGTGTAATTATTTGCTTAATGGTTATGCTGACAAGGCTAAAATCCCTAAATGTTTATCTTTTCTTTTCATTCTAGAATTCAGCAGTATGTCCTCTTCTAGCTATGACTTCTTGCAGATTTTCTCCATGATTTACAAATGTTTTTATAAATTCTCATGATTCCAGTACAGGATTTTTAAAAGCTATCTTATACATACTTTTGATAAGTTTATTTTCTACAGATATTATGTCATTTAATGAGGATTAGCCACTGCCCTCAAGAGAACAGAATTCCTGAAAAAGTGAAGTGGACGTGCTTTTTTGTTTTGTTGTTTTCCAGGTTTATTGAGAAAAAATTGACATATAACAGTGTGTAAGTTTAGGGTGTATTACACGATTTCTTGTATGTATGTACTATGAAATGATTGCCACAATAAGGTTAACACATTCATCACCTCACATAATTAAAATTATTTTTGTGCTGAGAACATTTAAAATCTACTCTCTTAGCAACTTTCAAATATATAATAAAGTATTGGTAACTATACTCATCATGCTGTACCTTAGATCCCTTGAACTTATTCTTCTTATAACTGGAAGTTTGTACTCATTGACCAACACCTCTCCATTTCCCCCACCCCCTGAAAACCATCATTCTTCTGTTTCAATGAGTTTGACTTTTTAAAAATTTTAGATTCATATATATGTGAGATTCTAGTATTCTTTGTCTGACTTAGTTCACTTAGCATAATGCCCTCCATGTTTGAAATGGCAGGATTTCCTTCTTTTTATGGATTATTAATATTCATGTGTGTATGTATACATGAGAATATAGTATGCTACATCTTTATCCATTCATCCATTAATGGACATATCTTGGCTATTATTGTGAATAGTACTGCAACGAACATGGGGGTGCAGATATCCCTTTGAGATAGTGATTTCACTTCCCAGAACTGGGATTGCTGGATCATATGGTAATACTAATTTTAATTTTTAATGTTTTGAGGAATCTCCATACTGTTTTCTATAGTTGCTGCATCAGTTTGCATTCCCACCAACAGTGCACAAGTGTTGCCTTTTCTTCACATCCTCACCAACACTTGTTATTTGACACTAGCCATTCTAACAGGCATGAGATGATATCTCATTTTGGTTTTAATTTGCATTTCTCTCTGATCATTAATGATGTTGAACACCTTCTCACGTTCCTGGTGACCATCTGTCAGTCTGATCTGGAAAAATGTCTATTCAGGTCCTCTGCTTGTTTTTAATCAGATTATGTTTTGCTATTGTTTGTATGAGCTCCTTGCATATTTTGGATACTAACCCTTTATCAATATGGTTTGCAAATATTTTCTCCCATTCTGTAGGTTGTCTCTTCATTCTGTTGATTACTTCTTTTGCTGTGCAGAAGCTTTTCAGTTTGATGCAGTTTCGTTTATTATTTTTGCTTTTGTTGCTTACACTTTGGGTGTCATATCCAAAAAATCTATGTCAAGAACGACATCACAGAGCTTTCCCCTGTGTTCTTTTCTTGGAGCTTTGTGCTTTCAGGTCTTACATTTAAGTCTTTAATTCATTTTGAGTTGATTTTTGTGAATGATATGTATAAGATAGGGTTGATGCTAACTTTAGTTTTGTTTTGTTTTCCAAAATTTTATAATTGAGAATAATTTGATGTGTTTATATTTTAGGACAAGAAATGTGCTTCAGCTTCAAATTCAGGCACAGAAGTGAAACCTGAACAAGTTCCTCCTTGTGTGAACCCTGGCAATCCTGTGTTTTCATGTATGTTGGACCCAAAGACACTCCTTACAGCCACCTCACTATCAAAACCTAAGATGATTATGTATAAAACCAGTTCATGTAATTATGGTGAATTTTTACCTATGCCACAGTTTTTTCCCTGCAGTTATACTCCAAGGGAGCAAGTATTTTCAAGCCATATTAGAGCTACTGGATTCTATCAAAATAACTCTCTAAACACTACACCTGATAGAACCAGAACCCTTGATTTTCCTAATTTTCAACATACTCTATGAAAATATATTCCTTTGTATATTTAAGAGAAAATATACTCAGGAAAAATGAGTTTTAAATCTAAGGCTAGAATACCTAATGTGGAACATAGAAGTATTTGAATTAGTTAAAGAATACCTTTAAGAAATAAAGCATTTGAACTGATAACTGAAAATAAAAATGTGTTCAAAATAGAATAAAAAGTAGACATCTTTTAGTACATCTTGGCTTTATTTAGTACATGTTCTCCAAAAGTTTCAAAAGGCTTTAGGATCTCAGTTGTCCACTGAGTATATTTATCAAGACAAAGAAACACAGGAGCGCTAAGAAAAAAATTGAATTAAGGAAGACTGACCAGTAATTTCCCAGTTTTCTGTTATTTCAACTAAGGGCTTAGAACCTAGGAGAACGTTAGTTTCCATGCTAGGCTAGTAGAAGAAAAGACCTGTTATTCATTCATTCATTTGGCAAATATTTATAGAACGCCTACTTATGACAGGCACCATACAATGCTAATGAAACACTGGAATAAAAGACAGTGTCTTTTATTGTTTAAATGAATAATATTTTAGGGGACTGAGATTAGCAAATTAATAAATTGTGATAATTTCTGTAAAGTATGCAAAACGTCTTTCAGACACAAAGACAGATTGCTCAAATTCAGAGCAAGGACATCCGGAGAAGCATCCTGGAGAAGGTAAAATCAAATCAAAGGAAAGGTCATCCAGGAAGAAGAAGCAATACATTTAAGAGTACAAAGATGCAAGAGATGTGGTACTTTTTTTATAAACGCAAATAATATGATATATCCTTAACACAGTGTGAGCAGTGGTAGATGATGGACTATACTATTCTTCAAACTCTGTAATTCCACTGTATACAAAGACTTATTTATTTATTTCAGCTGCCATCTGTTGTAACCACACTTGAGTCTGAGTACATGTATGGAAAAAAATCACTGTTAGTTTCAGGCTCAGGATCTAACATCAATTAGAAAAATAATCTTGTGAGTTCCTAAGGCATCAGAAAAATTGGATCTTCTGTTTACAAAAAATGGTTTGATGTGAGGAAATAGCTCAAACTCTGCCTCATGAGGTTTTTCCAAATACCTCAAAATTTGAGATTTGTTAATGACAGAAGCAAGAAAAATTAGTTTTGTTCACATCCTTTAAAACATCAAAAATCCAGGAATTGCACAAGATATCTAGGTGAATAAAGCAAATTTAAAAATTTGAGTTTAGTAGCCTTTTCTCCGCAAAATCTATATAACCTGTTTTTCCCCTTCACTGCAGGTACTCGATCTTTGGCAAGGGAAGTCAACTTTCTAATATTCAGAATCTAGATATTAACCTAAAATTTCTTACAATGGCAGGTGGCTAGATCCTTTTTGTTTTGTTGTTGCTAAAATTCTCACATAGGCTATATCTCAGAATTAAGCACATTGTCTGGAATGCCATTATGTAGTCATTCAGTGCCTGTTGTTGAAGTCCAGGGACTCCTGTAGGCACTAAGAGCCTACCCTCATGGAGCTTAGATTCTAGTAAGTTCTAGGAGGAAAAAAAAAAAACAAAAAACATATGTATAGATATGTAAGTGTGTAAGTATATATACATATTATGTACTGTAAATATTTATGTTTACATATGTTACACATACATGTATTATGTTTTATATACATATAGGCATATATTTACATTTATATACATGTATAGATGTGCATATGTAAATTATGTATACATATTTACATGTAAATATTTATGTATGCCTATATATACATATAAAACATGCCAAGTGATAAATGTTATGGGGAAAATGGAATAGGGTTGGGGGAAAAGGAGTGCTTGGGCAAAGAGTTATATTTGGTAGATTGGTCAGGGAAGGTCTCTGATAAGTTGATGTTTGACCACACCCATGAAGGAAATGAAGGGAGTATCTGGGGAAAGTAGAGCTGTTGTGAGACAATTGAATATGTAGTCTGGAGTTCAAGGGAGAAGTCCAAGTTGAATACAATCAATTGAACAATATCCACACAAAGAAATTATCTGAAATCATGACACTCGAGACTGAGACTCGGTAAGACTATAAAGTATTCATAGAAAAGAGACCTAAGGACTAAGCTCTAGGGAACTCCAACATTTAGAAGTCGGAGGAATGCATCTGAATTGGCAAAGAAGAAGTGAAATTCTCACTCTGCACAGATGACATGATACTCTATGTGGAAAACCCAAAAGACTCCACCCCAAAATTGCTAGAACTCATACAGGAATTCAGTAATGTGACAGGATATAAAATCAATGCACAGAAATCAGTTGCATTTCCATACACTAACAATGAGACAGAAGAAAGAAATTAAGGAATCAATCCCATTTACAATTGCACCAAAACCCATAAGATACTAGGAATAAACCTAACCAAAGAGGCAAAGGATCTGTACTCAGAAAACTATAGAACACTCATGAAGGAAATTGAGGAAGACACAAAGAAATGGAAAAACGCTCCATACTCATGGGAGGAACAAATATTGTGAAAATGTCTATGCTACCTAGAGCAATCTACACATTCAAAGCAATCCCTACCAAAATACCATCAACTTGTTTCACAGAGCTGGAACAAATAATCCTAAAATTTGTATGGAACCAGAAAAGACCCCAGATAGCCAGAGGAATGTTGAAAAGGAAAACCAAAGTTGGTGACATCACAGTTCCAGGCTTCAAGCTCTATTACAAAGTTGTAATCATCAAGACAGCATGGTACTGGCACAAAAACAGACACAGAGATCAATGGAACAGAATAGAGAACCCAGAAATGGACCCTCAACTCTATGGTCAACTAAGCACAACTAAGCACAACTTTCAACAAAGCAGGAAAGAATATCCAATGGCAAAAAGACAGTCTCTTCAACAAATGGTGTTGGGAAAATTGGACAGCCACATGCAGAAGAATGAAACTGGACCATTTCCTTACACCACACACAAAAATAGACTCAAAATGGATGAAAGACCTCAATGTGAGACAGGAATCCATCAAAATCCTTGAGAAGAACACAGGCAGCAACCTCTGTGACCTCAGCCACAGCTGCTACTTGCTAGACATGTCTCCAAAGGCAAAGGAAACAAAGGCAAAAATGAACTATTGGGACTTCATCAAGATAAAAAGCTTTTGCACAGCAAAAGAAACGGTCAACAAAACTAAAAGACAACCAGTAGAATGGGAGAAGTTATTTGCAAATGTCTTACCAGATAAAGGGCTAGTACCCAAAATCTATTAAAAAAAAACAAAAACTTATCAAACTCAACACCCAAAGAACAAATAATCCAATCAAGAAATGGGCAGAAGACATGAACAGACATTCTCCAAAGAAGACATCCAAATGGCCAACACACACATGAAAAAATGCCACATCACTCGGCATCAGGGAAATACAAATCAAAACCACAATGAGGTACAACCTCACACCAGTCAGAATCGCTAAAATTAACAAGTCACGAAGTGACAGATGTTGATGAGGATGCAGAGAAAGGGGAACCCTCCTACACTGTCGGTGGGAATGCAAGCTGGTGCAGCCACTCTGGAAAACAGTAAGGAGGTTCCTCAAAAAGTTGAAAATAGAGCTACCCTACGACCCAGCAATTGCACTAGTGGGTATTTACCCCAAAGATACAAATGTAGTGATCTGAAGGGGCACCGCACCCCAATGTTTATAGCAGCAATGTCCCCATAGCCAAACTATGGAAAGAGCCTAGATGTCCATTGACAGATGAATGGATAAAGAAGATGTGGTATATATATATACACAATAGAATACTACTCAGCCATAAAAAAAAAAAATGAAATCTTGCCATTTGTGATGACATGGATGGAACTAGAGGGTATTATGTTAAGTGAAATAAGCCAATCAGAGAAAGAAAATTATCATATGATCTCACTCATATGTGGAATTTAAGAAACAAAACAGGACCATAGGGGAAGGGAGGGAAATATAAAACAAGATAAAATCAGAGAGAGAGACAAACCATCAGAGACTCTTAATTATACGAAACAAAGTGAGGGTTGCTGGAGGGGAGGGGGTGGGGGAATGGGGTAACTAGGTGATGGACATTAAAGAAGGCATGTGATGTAATGTGCAGTTCCCCTGAAATAATTTTTATGTTCTTGTGAGGGAAAAAAAGTAAAACCTATTTAATCTTAAAAAAAAGAAGAAGTCAGGGGAATGAATATGAATAAAAAAATGAGACCAAGGAGAAGTGATTAGTTAAGGAGGAAGAAATTAGCAAACTAATGCCCAAAAGCCAAGTAAAGAACTTGTTTCAAGAAGAGGGAATGAGCCAGCTGTGTGAAATTATCTTGGCAGATAACACATGAATTGAGTCCTGCAGATGTGATTAGGCAATGTGGAGAACATTGGTCACCTCAACAAGAAGTGTTTTGGTGAGGTCACAGAATGGAAAACTTTAATGGAATAGGTTTAATTTTTTTAAAAGATTTTATTTTTTTATTATTTTAGAGAGGGAAAAAGAGAAAGCAGGGGAAGGAGCAGAGGGAGAGAGACAAGCAGACTGCGCTGAACACAGAGCTGGACACAGGGCTCCATTCCACGACCCTGAGATCTTGACCTGAGCCAAAATCAAGAGTCAGATGCTTAACCTACTGAGCCACTCAGACACCCCTGGAATAGGTTTAAGAAAGAATGGAAGTAGTACTCTTTAGTAGTTTTGCTGTATACTGAACAGAGAAATAGAGTGAAAGCTGGAAGTAGACATATGGGGCCAAAGGTTATTTTTTTAAAGACAGGGATAATGTAGCCTATTTGTATTCTGATGGGATCACATTTTGAGAACTACTGATCTGTACTAATCAGTTCTAAAGATAAAGGTAGCTGAAGACAACTACAGAGTAATGTTTCTTTAATATGGACTAAAAAACTAATGAAGGATAGTCGGAAGAAAGGCAGGCAGGGACAAGGGGCCCTGTCCTAGGAGGAAAACTACCCTTAAAAGGAGAAAGACCCCATCCTGTTATTCTAGGCTTTATTCCATGCCCCAGCCTTGAGTCTTCCTACTGGGAGGACTTATAACTTGTATGTGACAGAAAGGAAGGGAATGGCCTTGGGCGTCCTAACCCAGGCCCAGGGGACCAGCTCAGCGGCCAGTGGTACATTTAAACAAAGAGCTTGATCTGGTGGTCATGTGGCTGCATGCCTTAGGACAGTGAGAACTGCAACCCTCTTGATCTGAAACACCACCCTGGAAGGGGCCCTCCACCCTTTCCCACATGAACAATTACCTGATAGGTAGATGAGCACGTGGACAAAAACCTGATTGGGTGACAGACACATGGAGGGTTAATCATTAAAACAGCCCATATGAAAGAGCCCATAAAAACCCCTAGATTTAACTGCCAAGTCAGCAATCCTCTTGGGTCCCTTCCCTCTTCAGGAGCTTTGTACTATTGCTCAATAAACTTTGCTTCGATGCCCACCACTCTTCGTCTGGTCTACCTCTTCATTCTTTGAAGCAGCATGACCAAGAACCACGAGCACTAAAGGAAAAGAAATCTTGCAACAAAACTAAACCGCATAAAATAGAAGCATGGATAGACCATATACAGAATTATTCACCAGCTTATAGTATTCTTAGAACCAGGATACATAAGAACAACCTAAAAGAAGCATTAGAATTTGTACTGCAAAATATTACATTCACCACTTTGTGAGATAAACTATGTAAAGCAGTACATTTTTGGAATATGCTAAAGCACACAAATAAATGAGTTTGTAATTTTTCCAAAAAGAAAGATGTCATTTCAGGTAAGTTTGAACAACCAATTCTTGTAGAAAATATCTAAAGCACATTAGGTAAAACACATATACTTTAGGCAAACCTTCCTACCTCTACACGATTATCAGAATATTTGACATTTCACTTCCATTTTTTGACTCATCATTACTGGAAATACAGCATGAGCTCTCAGCTTCAAATAAAATGAAGTTTATCTTCCCAAAGGAATATTTTACCAGTTTTTTTATATCTTTTTTCTTTCTTTTAGCTATAAGCTAAATATAGTTTACTGAAATATAGTTTACCCCATCAAAAATCTAATTAATATATCTGACCAAATAAGTTGATTGGTTTTTACTATCTATAATAGCTCAAAATTGTTGCGAATTTACTATTTCTATTACTATACTGTTTGTCTTGTTTACTAAACAAAAAATATTTTATTTAGGTCACAAAAAGGCTAAAATGAAGTATAAATACTGTCAAAAGTAGTTCCTTGCAGAGACTATCTTCAGATGGTCATAGAGTCATATGCCTTTAAACATTTTAGAAAGGGGAATTACATTTCAAAAACTGTGGACAATGGCAAAGAGAAGATGCTGGTAATCTGGTCATGATTTGAAGCTTAAACTTGGTTTTACTGATGATACATGAGAGTTAGTTCCAGTGAGGTATGTCTTAAAGGTTTATAAATAGAGGTAATTATCCTAAACATTATAGGAAAGAGGAAGCCTGTTGTGTAGAATTGGATGCATGATGCCATGAAACATTCCACTCAAACTAATTCTCCTTGTTCTGATTCTGTGTGTTAAAAAATGGAATTCAACTGAGTAAATTTGAAAAATTTAATTGGTTTTATTCAACAATTCATAAATCAGGCAGCATCCCATCTAGCAAGTAGAAAAGCTCTGAGAAGCTCTACAAAATGGAAGACTTTTAAAGGCAGAAACAGAGCAGGACAAAGAAGCTCCTAAGAAAATTTTAAAAAAGGATCTTTTCAGGCAAGGTCACCTTCCTCTGGGGAAAGGCTGGTGGTCTATTAAGCAATTTACCTCAGTAGTGCTGATCAGGAAATTCCAGATTGACTGGTTAGAGGTCAAATTCCGGCAATTATATCTTGGTTTACTGTCAGTGGGGGCAAGCGACTCCATTTTTTTTAACTTTTTTCATCATTTTTTAAATTTTATTTTTTATTACTTCTTAAAATTCCTGTATAATTAACATAAAGTGTTATTATTAGTTTCAGGGGTACAATATAGTGATTCAACAGTTCTACACATTACTCAGTGCTCATCATGATAAGGGTACTCTTTAATTCCTTTCACCTATTTTAACCATTCCCCCATCCACCTCCCCTCTGTCAACCACCAGTTTGTTCTCTACACTTGTGTCTTTTTTTTTTTGTCTTTTTTTTTCTTTGTTCATTTGTTTTGTTTCTTAAATTCTACATATGAGTGAAATCACACAGTATTTGTCTTTCTATTTCACTTAGCATTATAACCATTAGATCCATCCATGTTGTTGCAAATGGCAAAATGTCATTCTCTATATGGCTGAGTAATATTCTATTGTAGATACATACCATATCTTTTTTATCCATTCCTCTAGCAATGGATACTTGTGTCGTATCCACATTCTGGCTAATGTAAATAATGCTGCAATAAACATAGGGGTGTATATTATCTTTTCAAATTAGTGTTTTCATTTTCTTTGGGTAAATACTCAGTAGTGGAATTATTGGGTCATATGGTAATTCTATTTTTAATTTTTTGAGAAACCTCCACAGTTTTCCACAGTGGCTGTACCAGTTTGAATTCCCACCAACAGTACCTGAGGGTTCCTTTTTATCCACATCCTTGCCAATAGTTGTTATTTCTTGTCTCTTTGATACCAGCCATTCTGACAAGTATAAGGTGATATCTCATTGTGGTTTTGATTTGCACTTCCCGGACGATGAGTGATGTTGAGCATCTTTTCGTGTGTCTGTTGGCCATTTGTATGTCTTCTTTGGAGTTATGTCTGTTCATGTCTTCTGTCTATTTTTAATCTTGAAATCTGGGATTGTGATACTTTGTTTTGTTCTTCTTCAAGAATGGTTTGGCTATTTTGAGGGGTCTTTTGTGGTTCCATACAAATTTTAGGATTGTTTGTTCTAGTTCTGTGAAAAATGCTGTTCGTATTTTTATAGGGATTGCATTAAATCTATAGATTGCTTTGGGTAGTATGGACATTTTTTTTTTTTTAAGATTTTATTTATTTATTTGAGAGAGAGAGAGAGCACATGAGAGTGGGGAGGGTCAGAGGGAGAAGCAGACTCCCTGCTGAGCAGGGAGCCTGATGCGGGACTCGATCCCGGGACTCGAGGATCATGACCTGAGCCAAAGGCAGTCGCTTAACCAACTGAGCCACCCAGGCGCCCAGTATTGACATTTTAACACTATTTGTTCTTTCTATCTTTGAGCATGGGATAGCTTCCCATTTGTTTGTGTTATCTTTGATTTCTTTCATCAATATTTTATAGTTTTCAGAATACAGGTCTTTCCCCTCTTTGGTTAGGTTTATTCCTAGGTATTTTAGTATTTTTGGTGCAATTGTAAATGGGATTGTTTTCTTAATTTCTCTTTCTGCTACTTCATTATTAGTGTATAGAAATGCAACAGATTTCTGTACGCTGATTTTACATACTGTAACTCTCCTGATTCATTTATCAGTTCTAGTTTTTTTGGTGAGTCTTTAGGGTTTTTAATATATAGTATCATGTCATCTGTGTATAGTGAAAATTTTACCTCTTCCTTACCAATTTGGATGCCTTTCGTTTCTTTTTCTTGTCTAATCACTGTGGCTAAAACATCCAGTACTATGTTGAATGAAAATGGTGAGTAGACATCCTGTCTTGTTCCTGACCTTAGGGGAATAGCTCTCAGTTTTTCTTCATTGAGGATGATGTTAGCTCTGAGTTTTTTATAGATAGCCTTTATTATATTGATGTCTCTTCCCTCTAAGCCTATTTTCGAGGATTTTTATCATGAATGGATATTGTACCTTGTCAAATGTTTTTTCTGCAACTATTGAAATGATCACATTGTTTTTATCCTTTCTTGTATTGATGTAATGTGTCACATTGATTGATTTGTGAATATTGAACCACCCTTACATCCCAGGAATAAATTCCACTTGATCAGGGAGAATGATTTTTTTTTTAATGTATTGTTGGATTTGGTTTACTAATATTTTGTTGAGGATTGCTGCTTTTATGTTCATTAGAGATCTCTCTCTCTCTTTTGTGTAGTGACTTTATCTGGTTTGGGTATCAGGGTAATGCTGGCCCCATAGAATGAATTTGGAAGCTTTCCTTCTCCTTCTATTTTCTGGAATAGTTTGAGAAGAATAGTATTAATTCTTCTTTAAATGTTTGGTAGAATTCAGCTGTGAAGCCACAAGTGACTCTATTTTGCACTTGTTTCTTTTTTTAACATGTTTGCTAAGCAACTTTATGATATGACTTATCATATATATCTGCTTGTAAGGAGACATGAATTGTCATATAACCTATCAACCCCATGGACATGCTCACGCAATTTCTACTTATGAATTAATAGTGAGTAGGCAGTCTGTTTTGTTCAGTCTCCTGAGCGTAGTTAATGTGAATCTGATACTCAGAGATGAGTCAGCTCTTGATAGGTCTTTGTCTGAGAGCGAGACTGAGCCAGATCAGTTCAATAAGATAATGAAATACATTCCTATTGTCAGTCCTTTTGAGAGATCACCTACTAATCTTTTTCTGAGATGGTATGTGAAAAAATCCTTTGCCCATGGGGGTGCCTGGGTGGCTCAGTCAGTTAAGTATCCAACTCTTGGTTTCAGCTCAGGGTCATGAGATAGAGCCGCGTGTCAGGCTCAGCACTCAGTGCTTATCCCTCCCCCTCTGCTCCTCCCCTCACTCACTCACTCTCTCTCTCTTAAATAAATAAATAAATAAATCTTAAAAAAATCTTTTGCCCTTTTTTGCCACATGGATGAGGCTCACTGGAAAGTACTTGGCTTGCCAGTGACCAGTGGTCTCTCCTTCAACAAACCCTAAACAGGTTCCTCTAAGCCACTTTGTCAACTGGGCCTGATCCTTGGGCCTTGCCCTTAAGAGCTCAGTTGTTAGCAAGAATACTGCTAAGTTGGTTTAGCCAGAATCCCCAACATCAGTTTTGATCACTCTCAATATCGGACCAAATTCCTCATGCCCCACAATCTCCCAGATGATACCCAGTCAACTTGGCCTGCTTTCAGCAAGAATCCTGTTAGGTCAGTTTAGCCAGAATCTCTCTACCACTGATGTTTCCTCTTAATAATTTTCCATCCACTGACAACCCCAATCCCCACCCCCAACTTGCTCCTTACCTATAAATCACCACTTGTTCATTGTCCATGCTATATTAGGAACTGACCCCAGTTCTATACAGGGGTCTCTTTTCCTATACTGCAATAGTTCCCAAGTGAAATCTGTTTTTACTACTCTAACTACTGTCTAGCTCTAGTTTTCCTTTACTCTAGGAAACCAGGACAGGATATGTTTAAATAAACATATGTGTTTACTTTCCATTTAGCTCTTAGATAGCATTTATCTACTAGGAGTAATATTTTTACTTCTGTCAGTAAAGAGCTAAAATGTATAAAAGAAAAATTATACCAAACCTGGTCTGGGACAAACCATTTTTGCTTGATGTAACACACAAACCTCTTTCTGGGAGGAAAGAAATGAGCATTCCTCATAAAATGCTTAAGCACTTTAATGAGCTAAAGACAGGTTCTGTGAAACTAGTTACCCATCTACTCTAGCTGACTCTCAAGTGACTATCAGTCAAAGGGCAAGTGGAATAATAGAAAATATTCTTTTTTTAAATTAAGTCTAACAATAATTATTCCTATAAAGCATCCACTACAAAAATGGGCTAGTCATGATCTTTCCTTGGTAATCAATATTTTGATATAGTTTGATATTTATTCATAGCCAAATTTGTCAAAAAGTTGTCTTTATTAATAAATAGGTATACTGTGTATTTATGTATGGTAATCACACAGTAGTGGGAGATTAAAGATCCGATCAGTTTATTTCTGTAACAGCTACACTTAGCTTATTATCCACTTGGTATCTTGAAATTAATTTCAATCAAATAATTGACACTGTAAAAAAAACTAAGGGACTACCATAAGAATTGTTTTCTTATCTTTTATTCATGGGCCTTAATAATAATTAGCACTATTATTTGGGAGGTGTGTTTTCATCATAAAGGAGATGGGAGTGTTGTATCAATATTTCAACTCTATCACTACTTCAATTTAAGACAAAAAGTCCCTTGCAAACAATAGGAGATTGCTCAAAAGAGGTCAAGTATTTCATGAATACAAATTTGTCATATTAATAAATAACTAGTTAAGACTATCCCTTCTTTCCTCTAAGGATAGATCTTTCGCCCTTAGGGCAGCTATTGGGCCCAGTCTTTTGGGGAGGTGGTAAGTGGAGGATGGTAATAGGAAGAACCTGAAGAAGCACTAGGTTGGTTAACATATTTTGAATATCAAACTGGTATTTGACATACAATGAGACCCATCTTTATTTTGGTAACATTTATTTTTTAAAAAATAAAAACAAACAAACCATAAGAAAAAGCAATCCTGCCTTATTAGAAAGTCTAATAACTGGACAAAGCTGCTATGTAAGTTATCTAAGGTTGCTTTATAAAAGTAAGTCTCAAGATTGCTGAACGAGGATACCCTTACACATTCAAAAAAAGTATTGTGCTAAAAAAAAGAAGAGGAATGAAGCTGTTTTATGGTCCATTTGAATGACATCAGATGACCAAATACTGTAAAAACTTATTCCTAAAAATTGTGTTTTGTTTTTCTAAAAATCCTCTAAATATAATGAGACAATTGTGATGACTACTACATACAAAAGGGAAGCTGTACTGTTTTTGTTTAATGCTCGCATCATCACTGTGGTACAACACAAACGGTGTACAATCCAATGCCAGTATCATAATATTCTGTGTTGACGTTTCACCCTGTGCTGTCTTTTTCCTGTTATACTTGAAGGTACTAGAAAACTTACCTTCACCAGATAGTATGAAATATGATCATGCTTTGGGGAACACTACATATAGTTAAAGTCAAAAATAAGGTTTCCTAAACAGGGTGCCTGGGTGGCTCAGTTGGTTGAGTGTCTGCCTTCCGTTCAGGTCATGATCCTAGGGTTCTAGGATCAAGTCCTGAGTTGGGCCCCCTGCTCAGCAGGGAGTCTGTTTATCCCTCTCCCTTTGCCCTTCCTCCCTGCTGCTCGTGCTCTCTCTCTCACTCTCTCAAATAAATGAATAAGATCTTTTTTTTTTTTAAGGGGTTTTCCAAACAGTTGTTTTGCTAGGTTGAACTGGTCTACCCTCCCACAACAGGATGGAGAAGTAAAGGTTTTGTGCATTGAATACTAAGTGAACATCAGTACTGGTTATACTAAGGTCAACCATTCAATTAAGCAGTACATTTAATTTTAAAAATTATAAACATGGTCTTTTATTTTCAAATTTTACCTTGTCAGAAATGAATTAGTAATGTCCTAGTACTCATCACACCAAGAAATATTTTGTTGGTTTTAAGGGCAAGCTGAATTCAGTAACAGCAACAACAACAACAAAATATATATGTAATTAATCCATGTATTGAAGAAGCTAAGAATTAAATAATTCTTAATTTGATTTACTTATTCAGAAACCATTCAAATCAAACATTTCATTTTTCTATAGATTTATAATGTTTTGCCCTCTACAAAACTAAAGAACGAAAAAGAAAGTGATTCTGCACAATCAGCCATAATATTTACCAAGATTCCTAATGCCTCCGGTTATTTTTTGAAAAACTTAAAACAATACCTAGTACAATACCTAGTTGCTTCAGCAGTCATTAAGATTTTAGTTCTGTTCCTTGAATTATCTTCCGAATCTTCTCAGCATCATTTTGTACGATTTTATTGGATGGATCAATCTTAAGCGCAGCTTCATAATCCTGTAGGCCTGTATTTACATAGCAATGATGGTCGATAAAATTAATATTTTATAAATACTTGTGTTATCTAGATGATTTTTTTAAATAAAAATAACCACTAAGAATGTGGTTCAGGACAAGCATCAGGTTTTAAATCAGATTCTCATTTTCACACACGTATCTCTATGTAGTATTTCTAAAAGACTGCAGAAAATTTTCAGTGATTTCAGGAATAATTATACTCATTACATTCAGGATTCAGTAAGAAGCAGTTTTGGGGTTTGTTTGTTTTTTAAAGATTTTAAATGTATTTAATCTCTACACCCAATGTGGGTCTCCAACTCATGATCCCAAGAGTTGAGCCGCCATCCAAGCACTCCAGAAGCAGTTATTTTAAATTCAATATACAGCTTAAACTCATTAAAGCATGAACAGACTCAATAAAACACATAGAAAAAGGACATTTTTATTACCTCAATGAGAAAGTAATAAATGGAATCTTATTTAGAAACTCTAGATTTAAAAAAAGAATTTTGGTAGATTCAATCCATTAGTGGTTTTTTCTATGGTTGTCATATCTACAGAATTCCTTTGAGGAAAATTGGTTTAAAAGGAAAGCATTGTGGACTGTTTGTTAAGTACACATAAATGAGTCTAAGTTTTCACCAAAATAAGTAATGGGAAAATTTCTTTGAGAGTAAGGAAACTTGACTTCTAAGTGCTACTGATTTGCCATGCCACTTGAGGTAAATCACTTAACTTCTCCAAACCTCCATTTTCTCATCTTTAAAATGAAGAGTACTTTTAGCTCAAAAAGTCTATGATGCTACAATTTCTAAGGAATGCTTTAAAATGTTTCATTCCTGTCTTGATAACTTTTGTCATCATGAAGCTGGATAAGAGACTAAAAATAAAGGGTGGGGCCATAAATCTAATTTGGATGCTTTGGTTAGAAAAATCTCCTAAAAAATGTCAGAAACAATTTTAAAAATGAAGTCAGAAATAATAAAACCTTATAGACAAGCCCATTCCCTGGTAAGGCATCATCAAGGAGTATGCCTCTAGGCCTTGAATAAAGGAAAGTTGGTCCTCTGGGTAAGGAGGTGTGGGAAGGTGTGGGAAGAAGAGCATTAAAGATAAAATACTACTACAAAAATTTTGCCTTTTGGAGCAACATGAGTAACTGCAAAAAGTCCCTAAATACGTTAAAAATGAAAAGCAATAAAAAATAAATGTGTGGCTTCTATACACATGAAGCTGAAACAAAACTTAGTACAGTCTCTCAAACATAAGCAATGATCATACACTGTGGTAGATCACTTGTTTCTGAGCTTGTGTGTGTGTCTGTCTGTATGACCAAAGCAGTTCATTTTAAATTTCCATCATATCTTAAGTGACTCATTTATATCCTTGATCACACATCTTTCCATAGAAAAGTTGTCTGGATACTACAGCATTTTCCTACACCTAAATGTGTTGTTCACATCTTGTCTTAACTGCCTTCCACAACAATAAATTTTTTAAATACTTCAAAATCATTTTTTGTCAGATAAATTACAAAGAATATATTAAATGCTAAAAATATAAAACAGTGGAGTCCTAAAAAGTTATGATCTTAAATAATCCCAATGATACTTTTTTCAGAGCCTAACTTAGAACTTAAAACATTTCTATTAATTTCTTACCTTCTATGTATAATTCTAGTTGACAGAATGCAGTCCCACGTCGTATATATGCCTTCATTCTTCCATTAGCATTATCTGCAACAGGTGGTGTCAATAACTCTAGTGCCTTACAAAATAAGGGAAAGACAATTTCCTAATTTAAACTTGAGCAAAAACATGATAAAAATCTTAACTTTAAAATAAGCCTCAAGCCTCACCCACCAAAATTTTTGACTTAACTGGCACAGAAATTTATCAAATACTTATATTTGTGTTGAACAATTTAAGGATTTGTTCAATTGTTCCTATACAAGATTCATACCCTTTCTCCCAAAGTGATGATTTGGTTTATCATTTGAAACCTCTACAGCTTTATCTTTATTAGCAGGAATGATTAAACAACATTGGAGGTCTTTATATTCAAATTAGGTTATCCCATTCATTCATTCAATAAATATTTGTGCCCAGAATTGTGCTAGTAGAAGGAAAACTGGATCATAAAAATACTGTCAGATCTTTTAATAGCTTAATGAGATCAAAGCATGAGGATCTGGTTATTTCCTTCATATTTTCACAATCTCAAGGAGCCACATAAGAGATTTGCATATGATTTTCCCCTAAAACAGATTTTTCTGACATGGAAAAAAGAGAAAAAACTAGAAGTTTTTTAAGATAGTTTTAAGATAATGACATGACATTAATAATAAAATTAGGATATACTAGGTTACTCTGAAAATTGGGAAATTATAGAGCTATCCTTCTACTAGGCAAGTGGTAGTGATAATAAGAAAAAAACAAGTTTTCTTCCTTCAACCTTTCATTAAGTCTGCAAAACTTTAATAAGATAAAGGGTAAGCACAAACTGACAAGCATTTATTAATTTCCTTGTGAACTTCAACTGATATACCAAGGCAATATAGTGCCTTGAAGTCTCAAAAAAAAATACCAGTTTCTTGTCAATTCAAAAAAATCTTTTTTTCAGTAAAAAAACATAACTAACAAGATGACTCTTAAAATCCTTGCATCTCAATTACATAAACTTAAAAAAAAAAAGATTAAGGGCAACATTTAAACCAATAAATAAGAGGATAACAACTTTAAAACACCATATATAAATAAATAGAATTATATACCTTAGAAGAATCTTCAATGGCCTTGTGTAAGTTTTTTAGTTTTAGGTGGCAAGCAGCCCGATTCAAATACAATAGTGGAATCTTGTTATTTAGTCTTATGGCTAAATTGTATGCATTAATAGCTGCCAAGTAGTTTTCTTTTGCAAACAATTTGCTAATAAGACAAAAAGAGAAAAGGAAAACAATGTAATACTGAAATAGAAACACAGAAATAATATCTAATGATATTTGGCAGAGGAGATGACTTACCTCCTTTTCTATTCCCTGTACAATGGACTTCGTTCCAAGGCTACACCAGCTTCACCTTTCCTCCATATACATCAGCATGTAATCTGAATGTGACTGACTTCAACCCCACCTCCAAGGGTACCCATCTGTAGTTTAAACCAGTAAGCATATTTCCACCCTCTTGACTACAATGAATGAATTGGGAGAGGCTTATGACCTAAATTGGTCTATTCAGAATGAGGCCTATGACTTTGTTTCCAAAGTTAGAGAATGAAAAATTGGGAAAACTCCTCTTGCTAGATACAAATGAAGAAAGCACACAGCCCAAACTATTAGTGACCATGTTTAACACCATGGGAACAGCCAGCACTAGAATAAAGCTGATACTATGGAATTATGAAAAAAATAAAAAGGCAGACAGAAACCGAGTCCTTAGTGATACAGTTAAGCTGCTATATCAAGCTTACCTGAAATGCAACATACCTTTAGCTTTTTAGTTATATAAGCCAACAAATTGCTTTTAACATACAGCCAGTTTGGGGCGCCTGGGTGGCTCAGTCGTTAAGCGTCTGCCTTCGGCTCAGGTCATGATCCCAGTCCTGGGATCGAGTCCCACATTGGGCTCCCTGCTCTGCGGGAAGCCTGCTTCTCCCTCTCCCACTCCCCCTGCTTGTGTTCCTGCTCTCGCTATCTCTCTCTCTGTCAAATTAATAAATAAAATCTTTAAAAAAAACAAAACAAAACATACAGCCAGTTTAAACTGGGTTTTTTTGGTTACTTGCAAACAAAAGCATCTAATAGATCAAATCTTCCAAAATTCTCTTCAAATAGATGTACATAGTTAAAGGATTTAGTTAAAATGTCAAGTGTTTCTTTATTTTTATGTACAATTCTTAGAATTTTGAAAAATGCATAAACATAAGGAAAATAGAAAATACCAAATATAAGAAGTATCATAAAACACTTTGTATTTACTTCCAGTTGATTGTACTGCATACTGTATAGTTCTAGAACATGATGACATCAGAAGTAAAAGCACCCAGTAAATCATTAGTAAAAGGGAAGATGACACTACTGTGACATCTAACCTAAGCCTGACTCAAGTTTAAAATAACCCGCACAGGGCGCCTGGGTGGCTCAGTTGGTTAAGCGACTGCCTTAGGCTCAGGACATGATCCTGGAGTCCCGGGATCGAGTCCCACATCAGGCTCCCTGCTCAGCAGGGAGTCTGCTTCTCCCTCTGACCCTCCTCCCTCTCATGCTCTCTGTCTCTCATTCTCTCTCTCGCAAATAAATAAAATCTTAAAAAAAAAAAATTAAAATAAATAAATAAATAAAATAAAATAACCCGCACAAACTGGAAAAGCTAATTCTCTGGTAACAGTTTATGTTTCTGAAGTGCCTCATATCAGTTAGGACATTTCTGAATGCAAGTTACAGACAGAATCCCAATTCAAACTGGTTTAAACAAGTAAGGAAATAAATTATCTCACATTTAAAAAGTCCACATTTAAAAAATCCAGACCATGGAAAGCCTCCATGCCCAATGAAATCAGCAGCTTGAGGATGTTATCCTAAGGCCCAAGGTTCCTTTCATTTCTCCATTCTACTGCACTCAGCAGCTACTTCATCCTAGGGCTGCTTTTCCTCATGGGTGTAAGGTGGCTGCATAATTTCAGGTGCCACCTTCAAGCACAATATTCATTAGAAGAAAATGGGACAGTATCTTCTAGCATATGCTCCTTAAGGGCAAGAAAACTCCCCAGAAATCTCCCGGTTCACCTCCTTTCCCATCTCACTGACCAAAAGTACCTACCCTTAAAAAAATATTTTGTCTTAATAAAATCCCCAGTCTCTCTCCCCCCCACATCTCTCTCTCCCCACTTTTACTCCTTAGCACTACATATTGCTGTTTTGGAGCATTTAAAAAAAATTCAACAATATGATCATCTTTTTGTATTAAGAAATATGGAGATATACTATTTTTACAAAGTTTTTGTTGTTGTTGTTATTATTTTTACAAAGAAGTCTCTAATTTGTGCCAGGATTTCTGAAACCAGTCTCCTCCTACTGATGGACATTTAGAGGTTTTGTTTGCCACTACTTTGCTTTTATAAACAACATTACAATAAATATTTTTGTACATGTAGCTAAAAACAAAACACCACCACAAGTGTGTAATGAAAACAGCAGTGTAATGAAAACAACCCTGATTTGTTGAAGGCGATCAGAATTTATCCTGGGACTTGGGATAGGGTCCCCATCTAAGTCACAAGGGTAAGTGCTACACACCTAAACAAAATAGGGTCTCAGCCAGTAAGGATAAAGGGAGACCATACATTTCAGCCAGATAACAGATAATGTCTACCACAAGCCTTTTTTTTTTTTAATTGTGATAAAATATATGTAACAAAACTCACCATTTTTAACCATTTTTAAATGTATAGTTTAGTGGCATTAAGTACATTTACATTGTTGTGCAACCATCACCAATATCCATTTCCAGAACTTTTTCATCTTCTGAAACTGAAACTCTGTACCCATTAAACATTAACTTCCCATTCCCTCCTATCTTTGACAACCACCATTCTACTTTCTGTTCTATGAATTTGACTGCTCTAGATACCTCATAGAAGTGGAATCATACAGTGTTTTTCCTTTTGTAACTGGCTTATTTCACTTAGCATAATGTCCTCAAGGCGCATCCATGTTGCAGCATGTAACGACGGTTTCCTCCTTTTAAAGGATGAGTAATACTCTATTGTATGGATATACCACATTTTGTTCACCAAAATACCCATCAATGGGCACCTGGGTTGCTTTCACCTCCTGGCTATTGTGAATAATGCTCCCATGAACATGGGTGTACAAATACCTGTTTGTGTCCCTGCTTTCAATTCTTTTGTGTATATACCCTGAAGTGGGATTGCTGGATCATATGGTAATTCTATTTTTAATTTTTTTAGGAGCCTCCATACTGTGTACCATCTTACATTCCCACCAACAATGTTCAAGGGTTCTAACTGTTCCACATGCTCACCAACACTTGTTATTTCTGGGGTTTTTTTTATAACAGCCATTGTAATGTGTGTAAAGTAATATCCCATTGTGATTTTTATTTGCATTTTCTAAATGATTAGTGATATTCAACATCTTTTCATGTGCTTTTGCCATTTGTATATCTTCTTTGGAGAAATGTCTAAGTCCTTTGCCTACTTTCTATTTTTATTTATTTATTTTCTTTGCCTACTTTTTTAAAAGGTTGTTTTTTATTTATTTATATTTATATTTTTTTATTAAAGATTTTATTTATTTATTCATGAGAGACAGAGGGAGAGAGGCAGAGGCAGAGGGAGAAGCAGGCTCCCCGCAGAGCAGGGAGCCTGATGCGGGACTCGATCCCAGGACCCTGGGATCATGACCTGAGCCGAAGGCAGACGCTTAACCGACTGAGCCACCCAGGCGTCCCAAGGTTGTTTGTTTTTTAGCTGTTGAGTTGCAGAAGTTTTTGGGGTTTTCTTTAAGATTTATTTATTTATTTGAGGGAGGGGACAGAGAGAGACGGAGAGAGTAACCCATGCAGACTCCGCTGAGCACAGAGCTGACGGGGGGCTCGATCTCACAACACTGAGATGAGACCTGAGCTGAAACTAAGAGTGGAATGCTTAATGGACTACACCACCCAGGGGCCCCACAGAAGTTCTTTATATATAGTCTGGATATTAACCCTTTATCAGATATATGATTTGCAAATATTTTCTCCATTCCATAGGTTGTCTTTTCATTCTGTTAATAGTGTCTTTCATGCATAAAAGTTTCTAATTTTGATGCATTTCAATTAACCTATTTTTCTTTTGTTGCCTGTGCTTTAAAAAAATTTTTTTTTTATTTTTAGAGAGAGAAAGCATGTGAGCAGGGACAGGGGAAGGACAGAGGGAGAGGGAGAGAAAAAAATCTCAAGCATACTCCCTGCCGAGCACAGAGACCCACTCAAGGCTTGATCTCCTGACCCTGAGATCACAACCTGACCCAAAATCAAGAGTCAGACATTTAACCAACTGAGCCACCAGGCACCCTGATGCTTTTGATGTCACATCTAAGAAATACTGCCAAATCCTATGTCATGATGTACTCTGTGTTTTATTCTAAGAATTTCATAGTTTTAGCTCTTATGTTTAGGTCTTTGATATATTTTGAGTTAAATTTTATATAAGATGTTAAGTAAGGGTCCAACTTCATTCTTTTTTATATGAATTTCCAGTTTTCCCATCACCATGTATTAAAAAGACTATCCTTTCTACATTGAATAATTGTTGAAAATCATTTGATCATAGAAGGGAGGGCTATTTCTGGACTACCTATTCCACTGGTCTATATGTCTGTACAAATCTATATTAACATACACATTTGAAGAACAGCTCCATTTTGGGGGCACCTGGGTGGCTCAGTTGGTTAAGTGTCTGTCTCTTGATTTCAGCTCAGGTCAGGATCTCAGGGTTGTGGGATTGAGCCCACATCAGGCTCCACACTGGGCATGGAATCTGCTTCAGATTCTCTTTCCTCTCCCTCAGCCCCTCCTCCCTCTAAAAAAATTAAAAATCAAAAATTTACAAAATTTAAAAATGAAGAACAGTTCCATTTTTCATCTTTTTTTTTTTTTAAAGATTTTATTTATTTATTTGAGAGAGAGAATGAGAGACAGAGAGCATGAGAGGGAGGAGGGTCAGAGGGAGAAGCAGACTCCCTGCCGAGCAGGAAGCCCGATGCGGGACTCGATCCCGGGACTCCAGGATCATGACCTGAGCCGAAGGCAGTCGCTTAACCAACTGAGCCACCCAGGCGCCCCCCATTTTTCATCTTTAACATTAGTTTTACAATGTAACAGTTTTGTCAGAAAAATTCTCCCAGGTCCTAAGGGAAAAAGAG